AGCCGTTTTAGCCCTACAGTTTATAGCGACACATTTTTTTGCGGTTTTGAACAGAAAAATATTTACATTTTTATTTTTTCACATAGATAAAATTATCGTAAGACAGAAGTACTATGCCAGAAACCTTCCCAGGAGTGTACGGAACAACTTCTCAAAGTTTCATGGCGTTCGGATGAATGTTTTAGTAATGCACAAAGGACAAACAGACAGACAGACAAACATACATCATTTTTTATATATATATAGAAGATAGAAATTTTAGAATTTTTCTGAGGTCCATTACTGGTACCGACTAGAACCATTAAATTTCGGAGTGTCCATCACTAGTGCAAAATTGTTTTTAAATGGATATTATACTTGCATAACTAAATATTTTTTTTTCAATTTTAACGTTTTAACTAGAAAAAGGTGACCCTAGAGATTCTAAAGTCAAATGTAGAAGTTTATAACTATAATAATTACGGCGGCATAAACCAAACTGCTTAACTATGTCCATGCGCTTACTCTGTTTTAATGTTTTTTTTCTTAATATCTGTTTACACTTATTAGCTGTATATATATTGTAATTTAAAAATATTACATATTTTGATTGTGTCAGTATGTTGCTCAGATCACTCACAGAAATAAGTATGAAGCAATGATAAAAATTTCTATTTGGAAAAAAAAGGGGGGCTTCTCCTCAACAGATTCCTGTATGGTCATAAATAAAGTTTCAAATTAATAATTAACTAAAAGCAATTGTTGGACTTCATCTGCTGAATTTAAAAGATTTTTTACAAAACCAGCAAAGTTAACGACTACAAACGCCTTCACTACATAAGATTTCATGATATCTTAAATGGACACACTCCTAAGGAAAAACAACAATTAACATATAACATCTTTTGGATATTCAAGAGAAGCTGAAAGCGAAATTTCGCTTAAATTTAAATATTACAATCAAGATAGGAAGAGATTCCGCTGAGTATTCCTCCCCCTCACACTTATTGTCTTGCTATTCTACTCGCCAACAGAATACCCTGTGCTTGTGAGTGATCTGATAGATGTTGGTGCAGAAATATAGTTTACAGAAAAATATTAGTTTTTTTTTTTACTTTTTAAACTGACTTGTTTAAATTATGTTTGAATAACTTTTAACTTTTGAAGTTACGAGGTTTCACAGACATATTCCTAGCAATATCAGAACATCATAAAGAACAGAATTCATAGATTTTTCACTTCAGATGAGTTCATACAGAAATATTACCAGCAACATTTTATTAACAAATTTGTATTGATAACATTTAAATACAACAGAAGGAAGGAGATTTGTTGTGCTATTCCGCCCACAAGAATCTCTGATAACGGCGCCTCATTTAGCTGCTACTATCTCCGAAACATTGTTGTTTTAAAGTTATAAATACTAATTCGAGATAATTTTTACATTTTTGCGTGATTGTTTGAACTATATTTCTAACTTACAACTTTGAATTTAAAATGGTCGTCTCTATTATAAAATTATGATCACATATGTCTGTGTAAATTAGTTACAGGTCAAATGTAACCATTTGGTTGGCCTCAATTCAAATGTTTATAGCGAAATTTGGCGTTTTTTTTCAGAGTAAATCTCTGAAAAATGTTAAATGTTGATAACTTGAGTTAAGCATATTTATCTTCACAAGACGTAATTATCATAGTGACGTAAAAGATGCTAATATAACCGATGCGATGCGCTTTAACCAAATTTAAAAAAATGTTTTTTTATGATAAATCTTAAAGGATAACTTATTTTTTTTTCAAATACTTGGTTATTTTTTCTTTAGAAGGTAAAGAGACGCAAAGCAATAATGCTTACATGCATTGGTGTATAGTCATACTTAGCTTCCCCACTGTATAAACCAGACGGGCAAACATTATTTTAAAATACATTATTTAAAATACCAAGTATTTTGTGTTTTTTAAATATAGTATTTTTTAGTGACAAAGTGTTTTTTTATATATATTTTTTTAGAAAAGTTATTTAAAATAGAAAATACCTAAAATATCATGTATTTTAATTAAAAAAACAAAATACCAAATACAGCTCATCAGGTGAGTGTTATAGTTGAAAACTAATTCCTTTGCAATAGGTTCATTTTTGAGAAAAATTATGAGATTAGAAGACAGTGAATATACTTAAACAAATAAGCAATTGCGAATAAATTATTTTATTTAACTAATATTATTTCTAAATAATTTATAACCGAAGTGGATTTTTTTTTAAAATTTGATTTTGAATATTCTCTAAGGCATTCTATAAATTGAACTATTACTTTTCTTTGCTTGCAAAAAAGGGCATTTATATTAATCAGTCAACCTTTACTCGTTCATTTAATAAAATATGCTCTTTTACCCATCCCTATGATAGACAATGGAGTCCTGTATAATTGTTTTAAGGCTAAACAACTTTATGGCCAAAGATAATTATATTAAAAATTTAATAAAATCGACCTTCAAAAATATCTAAGCTCGAATTTCAGGGGGAAAAAGAATCGTGCAAACGATCAGCCTTGCTGCTATACTTGCAACGGGAACCTAATCAAATCGGTAATTTATTTCGTATATTTAAAATACAAAATAGAATACTTTTTTCTTTCATTTTCAATAGAAAATAAGTAACAAACGATGTATTTTATATTTTACTTTTTAAAATTAAAAAAAAAACTTTAAATATTTCATTTGGAATACTGCCCAAGTCTGGTTTAAACCCATCTTTAGCATGATAATGTGTTATTTGGAATCTTATTTACAAAATTTTAAAAACAACTTAAAGGTTATAATTGTAAAAAAAGAGGAAATATTGGTAATTTTCAATCCAAAACTATAATCAACTTTCCAAAACCAAAGTAACACTGAAAACTTTGGAAATTATAACACAATGGTTTACTATTTTCAAATAATGATACAGTGTCTCGTCACACCACTTTCCTAACTAATTACGGGAAATTTGTTCCCTAGCATTACAAAGGAGAGCGACTTTACATGGGAACATGTGTAATAAGTTAACGCCGTATCTCTAACAAATGGTCAGTGTTTCGTGTTTATTTTTGTTTTTTTATTGTTAGAGAATATTGTAGGTATTAATTTCCTGTCCAAGGAGTGATCTTGGGTGACTTTTGGTTTTGATGATAAATAAAAAACAAAATTGGCCCAAATTTCGGAGGAGAGTCCCAGAAGGCGGACAGACGGATTTTATTTTCGGATTCGGATATTTAGAACTTTTTTTGAAACATAAAGGTGCGTTTACACATTTCACAAACTGCGAGAAACACAATTATCTAACTTAATTATATAACTTAATTATAAAACTTAAGCAATTATCTAACTTAATTAATAGCAAAGCCAAATATTTTACGAAGTGAAAACTTCTTTAGACGCGTTTTGCACTTTTTGTGGAGAGTGAATTGAATTAATCCGTCAGATGTCCAATGTGTAACACACGGATTAAGTCGGCTGGAGCCCACTAATTAAAGTGTTTTTTCATATGATTTAAAATATCTCAAAAACTAAAAATTTGACCTTCATATTGTTGGCGAGGTAAATGTTCATAATTTCATTCTCAAATTGTGTCGAAAACCAAATGATAACGAGTTTTATGGAAGATATGAATCAAAAAATCTCTGAAACTAAATAATCGGATCTGCATACTGTTGGAAAGGAAATGTTCTGCATTTCATCTTCTTTGTAATGGTCTATTATTCATAATTTTATTCTCACTCGACGCCATGTTAGAGAGATGAAAAGGAAAAAAAATGATGTTGACAATCAAACGATAACGAGTTTTATTGAAGATATGGATTAAAATATCTCAGAAACTAAAAATGAGATCTGTATACTGTTAATGAGGGAAATGTTCAGCATGGCATCTTCTTTATAATGAACTATTATTTAAATAGCTTTTATTATTTATAATTTATATTTCATATTATTAATCTCGCCTTGTTGATGTTTAAACTTCTATTGTATGGCCTAAAGCACACATCTTAGTTGTTTTTTTCTTCTTGTTACCGACAGCAGATGGAAAACATCAAAAAGTAGGCAAAAAAACATTAGCATATTGAATCAATCATTTAAATAATTGTGTTTCATATAGTTTGTGAAATGTCTAAGCTCATCTTAAAACCAAAAATTTTGAAAGGGAGTACGAGCCACTAGCGGATCCAGGATTTATTTTTTGGGGGGGGGCTTCAGCCCGAAAGTTTTTTTTTCATAAAAATAACGATAATTACTTTGGAAAAAAAGAAAGAAACTAACTACCTGTATGAAATGGTGTTTAAGTTATTCCTAAAGTCCTTTTGAATGTAATTACACGAATAATAATACTTTAAGAGATACTTTTTTAATATTTTTTTCGATAAAACATGATTATATTTTACCATTTTGTGGGGGGAGGGGCTTCAGCCCGAAAGCCCCCCGTAGATCCGCCCGTGGTACGAGTAAATGTGGGGGGTAGGATGACTTTCGGAATTATAAGCCCCTCCTAAAATGGAAATATATATGTATATATATATTTTTCATTAGTTCATAATTTCTTCTATGAGTAATCCAAACTAAATAATTTGTTCTCTTTATAAATTTATAATAAATAAATAAATTTATAACGCATATACAGCTACTAAATGTAAACACATATCAAGAAAAAATTACCCCTATAAGTATTATTGATTCTGTAATTCTCTTTTTTTTACGGCTTTCAAGGACTACTTAAACGTCGTTATTTATAGTTTCTTTCTTTTTTCTTTTCTTCCAGAGTAATTACTGTTATAAAAAAAAAGAAGCTCCCCCCCCCCTCGGAATGAAATCCACCAAAGAGGGAGAGGGTTGACTTTTCCTTAGTAGGTTACAAAGATTAATAAACCAAACAGGAGTTATTGTGTGTTAAAATATACTGATCTTTAATTAATTCTTGCAATTTTAAGGTTAAATATTGTAATAAATTCCTGAGAGTTATGCAAGGCATATAGAGTCCAAACTGACTCAAAGACCTGCGTTTTGCCGCTTGGCTGATAGTGTGATAAAAAGTGGCGTATGGAGTGGGGTTATTATGATTAGATAACAGCAATGCAGACTTTGTTGTCCGAGAGCATGTCAGTTTATGGAAAGCTGTTTTCTTAGTGGGGGTACGGAAAGAATGTCAGTGTTTCTCTTTGTTATAGACCGGAGAGACTGTTTATTTTACATGAGCAAATTAAGTTAAAGAGACTGCATGATCGATTTCCATAGCAATCATTCTTTTAATTTCTTCATCACTTGTTTATCTTGACAAACATTGACGTTCTATAATTATATAAGACTAAAATGACATCCTTCCTCTGCCAAAAAATTACATTTTGGGGATTCGGTGCCTTATTTTTGATACTAGGAGGTATAGCGAGTGGAATATGGCCTATTTTATTCAATGAAAAATTGAGAACTGTAAGTAAACAAAGTAGTAATTTTGTTTTACATTCATATTTTTAGTATTCATATTAATAATTTTTATTTTTAGAAACTAGCTCTCTCTAAAGACTCCGAAAGTTTTAGCCTATGGAGAGAAACACCAATACCAATGTATATAGATTTTTATATGTTTCACTGGACGAATCCAGAAGAAACGCTTACGAAAAATGCAGTTCCTAATTTTGTAGAAAAAGGTCCATATGTGTTTAGGTATTTTTATGTTTTTTTAATAGTTCATTTTGTTGGTTTATTGGCAAAAAGTCACTAAGTACATTTAAAAAACTTTATGTGAATTTAGACTTTATTTGTCAATAAAAAAAAACACAGTAAGTCCACTAAAATGACAGAAATCCTTTTGTATATCAAATGAAGTTAGTTATGAAGTTAGTTGTATAACAAATAGACGATTTTCTAAATTTACATAGTGAAAATTCAAGTTCTAAGTGATTTAAGGTTATAAAATGTCTTTTAAATGATTTTTTCCAATAAACCGACGGTCTATAATGTAATTATTCATTTAATTATCATCTCAATAGTACCATTTTTTATTTATTTTAGAGAAGAACATCAAAAAGTTATTCTTGGTTGGAATGGCAACGGCACTGTTACATTTAAACAAATTCGTAAATGGATGTTTGAACCAGATCTTTCGTCAGGATCGCTTTCCGATAAAATTACAAATGTGAATGTGATAGCTATGGTATGTCATGCTATGGTATCTGCCTAGTCATTAGGTGAAGATAGTTTACATATCTTTTATGCTAATTGCTTATTGTGTTTAAAAACAAAGTGTTACAACTAAAATTTAAAATAAATCTAGTTTTTGATCATTTATTTATATTCTTTTAATTTTAAATTTCTGTTTAATGCATGTTGTGATGAATAAAATATAATTTATATGATATTGTAATATTTTATTGTATCAAGATTTTTTTTTAAAAATATTTGTAATGCTTAATTTTATCTTGTTTAAAGTTTGAAAAGTTTAATTATATTTTTTTTCTTTCAGACTATTGGTAATTATGTTAAAAAATACATTGGTTATGCTCCTTTAATAAATAAGATAATCAATGCATTTTTAAAAAATCTTGAAACAAAAGTATATACTACAGCCACTGTCGGTGAACTACTTTTCACTGGTTACGATGATCCGTTTTTAAAACTTGCTCATGAATTATCTTATATCATTAAGAAAAAACTTCCCATGGATAAATTTGGATGGTTTTATAACGTAAGTGTTAAACCTTAAATTTATTGTAATTTTTTTAATACTTTCGTAAAGATAATTTGATTTGTTATGGGATGGTTTTAAGAAACTTGTAATTTTTAACTGAAATAGCTTACTTAAATATAATTATAGATTATAAATTGGGCATCTATTTAAAGCTAATCATTATGCAACTTAATACTAACATGTGATCTACTTAAATTTCAAAGCAGTATATAAATTTATTTTCACAATTGTTTTACTTATTAAAATCTTTCCCCACAAAATTAAAGAGCTGATAAAGGGAATTAAATTTTCTTGTTTCTTTAGTGTAACTTTTATAATGATTGATTGTTGTTTTTATACTAGGCTATCAATTAATCACCAGGAAAAATACTTTGATCACGGTGTTTAATTACTAAAATTATATTGAATGAATTATATAGAATATTACTTTCAGGATATTTAGAATTTCATTAAACTTTTGAATATATTTTTATCTAATTTTTGAATATTCAATGGTTTTTAATTTTTTTTGCTATCTCATAGTATTTTTTAAAATTAAAAAGTTAAAAAAAAGATTTTGGTTGGAAAGTGTTTTCATGAAAGAAAAACCCACAGATAATAAACATTTAAATATATCATGATGTTTAAGCCTAAATTGCATGCCTTTATCAGGCGTTAACAAAACAAGATATCAACTATGAATTATAACTTGATAAAGTTTACAACTATTAAAAATTAGAAATAGATATGGATAATATATAAGTATGACAATTATAATATGTGTAGAGGTTTTGATTCAAAAATGGTTTTAATCACTAGAAGAGTACAATAATTAATATTTATTAATTTCACTTATTTTCAATAATAAATGTGGGAAACAAATAGTAGAAACAATAGTTTTTTAAGCATATATAAATATTACATCAATTCATGGAATATTAAACCATATTTTTGAACTTTGTTTATTCTCTAAAATAAACTAATAAATTAAGTTAATATTTTAAAGTTAACCTAGGAACGATTCTGCGCACATGAAGTTATAACGACAATGGATACTTGTTTATGTAGAATATTTTTATTATACTGATATAAAAATTATAATAATGAAATATCTGTGAATGAATAAGATATAAAATATATAATATAATAAATAATACTTTATATCAAAATATTTTCGTTTATTCTATTATATCTTTCATATCTCATCCTTTTGTTCAATTCTTATTATATAAATTTTCATGTTTCATTAGTTGTAATAATTTTCATATTTATAATAATTTTACCTGGGCTTGAACCTAGTTTTATACTAAATTGAAATACTTTTGGACAGTACCTCTTTGCTTGGTGATATCCAATAAGTTAAATATAAACATCTTGAAAAGCTTTTAAAACGAATCACTTTATCCATGTCTGTCTATCCATTTTTACTTATATATTTTCGTAGTTTTATTATAAATGGTTCCTATCTTGTTTTGATTAGCCCTGATGAAAGACTATAACTAGGCTGAAATGTTTGAACAGATTATAATTAGTTTATTCTTATCTTAGTGGTTTTCTTTCCTTAATGCCCTGCCACCTCGAAATGGACTTCACCTTGAATTAGTTTTACAGTAAACAATATATCCACCATTATTAAAAATTGGTTTTCTTATATTATTATTTGTTCAGGCACTGTTTGTTATTCATAGTATGATAATTTCTTTAATTATAATAACAATTTAATTAATTGTTTTTTTTTTATTTATTGAAGCGAAATATGTCAGCTGACTTTGATGGAGTTTTTAACATGATGACAGGTGAGAAAAGTTTGGACGATCTTGGAATCTTAAAAACATGGAATTATCAAAGTAGAACAAGTTATTTTCCGGGAGATTGTGGTGTTGTGGACGGAACTACTGGCGAATTGTGGCCTTTAGATTCTCCTCAGAAAGCGAAAGCTACAATATTTGCTACCGATTTGTGCAGGTACAAACAAAATTCAGCCTAGCTTTTATTAACAAAAATTTTTTAATAAATAAAAAACCCTACAACCCATGGGTCTTGGGCTTTATACTTCAAAAGGAGGTCTTTTGTCTTGGTTAATGGTTGCTGAAGGAGACGATTTGACTGATATCATGTTCAACCGCAATTATTTAATAAGAAGATGGGCTCGAGATCTCCTTTTGTAAATACATTTTTAGAGTGCTACCAATGGGTAGTTTCTCAACATGTGATTTCATGCTATTTTATTCCTTTGTTCACATTTACTGAATGTATTTTTACTTGTAATACAGTTGTAAATATCATCAATAAAAAAAAAAAAAAAAAAAATTATTTAATTAGGAGTACCCGCTCTATATTGCGACTGAGTGTGCCCAAGGAGGGTTTCCTTACTCCAGTTTTAATCCACAGCTGATGTAACAGAATCAATAATTACCTGCTACAACTGGAATCTGAGATCTGATAGGAGCACAGTGCCTTATTCAATGAACTACCCCTCCTGAAAAAAATTTTTATATGTAAGGTGTTTCAGGGTTAAGTGTCCTACCAGAAAGTAAGAATTAAGGACCTCAAAACAAGAAAAAATGTCTTCTAAAGGTTAGGACTTTGTTTAGGAAATATTCATTAAATAATCTTCAAGATTATAATAAATTAATAAATATATATTCCAACTACTTAGTTAATAAAATGTAAACATTAACATTAATATTTAATGTTGTTGAAATTGATTACCTTGAGCATTAAGTTTTTTTAAGTGTTGAAATGTGGACTTGTTTGCTAATCTTCTATTCAAAAATCATTTGGAATATTCACGACAGGAAGCATTAGCATTACTATTGTAAAAACCGTATACAAGCGTTTACTATACGTACACTATTTTCACCATTAGTATAAAGGCCAGGAATAATGATGGGTACTCTACGGAAGTTTTAAAAAAAACTGATAAATGCTATTGAGAATTCTCAGTGCTGATTCCAAATAGCCTTAATACTGACATTGTCAATATTTTATGTTCGGTTAGGGAAACAAGGTCATGTTAGTATTATTTTACCTATCTAATATCTCCTAAACAAAGTGTTAATGAACATAACTTCATAGAGAATGTTTTTCTTGTTTTTAGATCCTTAATTCATATTTTCAGTTAGGGAACTTAACCCTGAAACACACTGTAAATATAACCCTGAAACATCCGTTCATTTAATTGTACTATTGGTTGTTCAAATTGTATAACTTTAATTTATTTGTATAACTTTAATACAGAATTTTAGTTTCTTTAATTTTAATTGTATATTATGCCTGATTGTCAATTTATATTATTAAATAATTATAATTATTCTTATTACCAATTTGTAACCATAATAAGGGAGAAATAATTCTGGGAATAAGAAGTGCAGTGTCTTCGTTTCGGTCCGTCCCGCTGTTGTCTTGGTTATGGCCTGCCCCACTTTGTCTATGTAAAATAATGACACTATCATTAAAAACATTTTTATATAATAAAGAGATTATTTAATAAATATTATATGATTTAGTTTATTTTATAGTTTGTCTTATTCTAAGATTGTTTTAGTATAAGATTGGTAAGCTCAAGATAGTGGTAAGCTTAACCCCAAACTGTTGCAGTTTGCCTTAATTAATTGCAATGTTGTATTTTTAGCTTTATAAAACTAAACTAAGTTGCCTTTTTTATATTTTCCATTTTATTATAAGCGTTAGCTCGGCTAATTATATTTATTTTATCATTTTGTTGTATTTAATTAACAAGTTTCTTTATCTCTTTTCTACCAAATTTTGACTGGTTAGTTTTTGGCACAACGGTTGGTATAGTAGAGAGATAAGACTTCTATTGTTCGAATCTTCTTATAATATCCTAACAATAATAATTTTTTTTTTTGTTTTGAACATTTAACTAATAAAAAAAACTCTGCCCTTGTGAACTGATCTAAATAAACATTAAAAAAAAGTACGATTGAGAAATGTTTTTTTATAGTTAACAAGCTTTGACCCATTGATTTCTGATAGTTAATCTTGTATGAATCATTTGCCTTCAACAATTTTTTTTCTGATATTAGTAAGTTAGGTTATGTAAAGGTTAGGGATCACGAAAAGATTAAGCGACTTCAGTTATTTCACAGTCACTTTATAATAATAATTACTAGTATATATTTACTATTTAATTTTGAATATACAATTGTTTCATTATTTTAAAAAAAAATAATTCTAATTTTTTTTTTTTTTTTTTTGTGGAAAGTATCTTTTGATCAAATTTGATTTGATTTTTTCGGCAACTTGAGTTCCTTCACTAGTATATTTTATTAATTTATAAAACACCTTAAAATGTTTAAATTTTGGGGTTTTGATTTGACACATTCTGGGTATTTTTAATTTGACCAAAATTTGTTGTGAAAATGAATATGATACACATATATGTAAATGTTCTTTGTATTTTTAAATTGAAGAATATGCTTACAAAGGAGGTGGAACAGCCTAAAATCATATTAATGTTTTTTTAATAGAGTTCAAAATAAATATTTAAAATATTTATATGTTTAAACTTGTATTTCAATTTGTTAAATTCAGATTGTCCTAATTTCCATACTAGAAAAAACTTAATTTATAAAATATAAAAAAATAATTGTATGAATTATGTTTGAGAATGCTAATAGACAAAATATTGTGAGCTATTATTAGCTATAACACTATTATTATATATATATTATATTATATTGTATATCATATCATTGCTTGTCTTTATCTTTATCATAATAGATTATGTTTAGTTGAAATAACATTAAATTCTAAGAGTGTTTTGTCTCCTATTCTGTTGGATGAAGTGTTTTATATAAAAATATATATACATCTCTATATATTTTTAAAATACCAAAAATTAGCCTTGTAATAATTATGTAATCATTAATATCTAAGGCAGGATTTAAACATGCATATTTTGCTCTAACAAAAGTTCTTAAAGTTAAATTTTTTAATTCTCTAATTTAGTCAAAGGAGCTAATTTTTCAGGAAATAAGAGACTTTAAAATGGTATTTGATTGACTTCAGTTGTGTTTAAAGCTGCGTGTTATTGTTTTTTAATTAGTTAATAACTTACGAAAATTTCATATCATAACACACCCTGCAACTGTATTTATCTTTTTAAAAATTATTCTTAATATAAATAGAAATGATAAGTAAATCTTATTATGATAGTTAAAATTTAAAATACTCTCATTAAGCTTATTATTATTATTTTTTTTTATAGTAAAATTGTTTTGGACTGGGAAGATGAAACAACTATACATGGAGCTTCAGGTGCCGTTTTCCAGGGAAAGAGTAGTGTCTTTGATAACGCTACATCATGCTACTGCATAGACACGTGTCATCCAACTGGCGTACGAGAGATCTCTACTTGCCGTTTTGGTGCACCAGCATTCATTTCATTTCCTCATTTCTATCAAGCTGATCCCGTCTTCAGAAAAATGGTATCGGGGATGGAACCATCTGAAAAGAATCATACCTTTGATCTTACACTTCATCAGGTAATTATCAATTAATTTGATTGGAAATTTTAATTAGATTAGTATTAAAAAGTCCATATTACATGTAATTCAGTTTTTGCCATAACATAAGCCTATTACTATCGGCTGGATATTTTGGCACAACTTGTAAATTTGTAGAGGGATTAAATTGAGATTTATAATCTAGATAAAACGTTTTTGTGTTACCTGATAATATGCATTGTCAAACTTGGCTTTTTCTAGCAACCAGACTTTTTAACAACTAAGTATCCAAATAGAAGTTATATTTGGACCACAAGTAGTTAGCAGCTCAAGGGTGAACACTTGAAGGGATTAGCTAGGGTACCGAGTTATAACTCACATTTTGTTCTTTTCCAAATTCTCCGATATTAATTACAAATCATTGAAAAAGGTATACATATATTAGAAGATTAAAATATCATCTTTCAATGTGTGTATATATTTGAGCGGCCTTATATCAAAGACAGGCATCTGTCATTTTTTTAAAGTTGAGGAAAAAACAATTTGCATAATATCGCTTCAATTTAAATAAATTCTAATTATTTTCTTCATAATACAACTTGACCATTCTCAAATAAAATTATCAAAAACAGTGTTGAACCTATAAAACAAAAATTGACTTTTTCTCTACTTTTTGAAAATAACAGATGTCCTTTGATATGAGGCCATTCATTTGTAAGTGTATATGTTTTAAAAGTAATATTGGAACGTTATTGGAGCATCTTTTTGATGCTACACGAGTTTTCTATCGGGTTGCCAAATTATCACTGTCGAACTAGAGCTCTAAGACTTTTTGAACGTTTTGTTCAATTTCTGTTCTAGTACTTTAATTACATTTACACTGAAATCTTTCTTATTGTTGTTATTTTTTGAATTTCTCTTTGCCTTTTTATGTTTGCCAACTTATATGTTTAGTCATGTCCCAAATATTGCAGATAGTATGATTTTTTTTATAACAAAAAAGGAAGATTCTCTGCTTATTAAAAGTCTCAGTAATTGATGTTTATATAAGTGTGTGATAAATATATAAGTGTTAAAAAGATTGAAAACAAATTTTTTTACATTTTCAGATTACAGGAATTCCTCTTGGTGTCAATGCAAGACTTCAAATAAATGTTTTAGTTGATAAAATAAGAGGAATAGAGTGAGTATTTTTTTATTCTTTATGATCTTAGAATTTTTTATTAGTGGCGCACTAAAATATTGGGCCGTTTAGCGTGTCCTACACCCCAGAAATGTCAAAACAATGAAGTTATATAGGCCAAATGGCCCAATATTTTTGTAAGCAACTTTTTTTCTTGATTTCGTGATCCAATTGTTATATGATCCAAGTGGAAAGTTATTAGTACCTAATTAAATACCCATAGTCTGCCACCCTCCTGATTGAAAACCCTCCAATTCCAAGAGTTTTCATAAATAAAATAGTTGTAGGTTACGATGGTATGAAGCTATTCATGAAGTTTCAGGTGGATGTTAATAATTTGATAAAAATGGGTCTGTACCACGGACTAAAACTAGTTGCAGCTTTTAAAAATAAAGTCGACATACACACCAAATATAAAATTGTCCAATGAAAATGCTATCCATTAAATATATTAATTATTTAAATATATATGATAATGTATTGGTTATTCAATAAATTATATTAAAAACTATTCATTAAAAGAAAATAAGGATCTAAAAAAAAATTTCAGATGCCATTATGGTGTATTTGGCTCTATACATATTAAAGTTTAGCAACTATTTACGTAGCAAACCCGTTTGTTTCAAATGTGTCTCAAAACATTATGAAAATGGGTTCAAACTCCTGGATTTCTCTGCATCTAATATGATAAAATTATATGGTTTTGTCTCTTCTTTAATTTTTTTGAAAATACAGTTAGTGATCTAGTTTTGAAAATAATCAATTTTGTAATTTTTTGCATATATATTTTAGCTACTTATTTCTTTTTCTTATTATATTTATTATTATTATCATTTTACAGCTTCTATGAGCATCTTCCAAGAGCTTATATGCCAATGATTTGGTTCAATCAAAGAGCTGCAATCACGCCAGACCTCGCTAAGCAGCTCTCTGACATACAAATATTTGGATATTTAGAACCGTGTTTTTTTGCCGTCGCTGGTCTCGGTGCCGTTCTTCTCATCATTGGTCTCTTTTTATGGTCAAATGGAAAATGGAAATCTTCGACAATGGCTAGACCATTACTACAAGATCCGGCAACTTAGTAATTTTATCATTTAAGTTTTAGCAAAAGCACTTTTTTGTATTATGAATTTTGTACAATAGCAGAGCACTCTTCCAATTTAAAATATTTAATATTTATCACTGTGATTCACAATTAGGCTGGGTTTTTATTTATTGGTATTACTATTCATAAATTATGATATTCCAGCTTGGTTCATAATTTTATTCTGATATAATTCAATTAATATTATATATATATATATTTTTTTTTTTCATGTTTATTCACTTTAATTTTTTATGATAATAATGAATCTCTGAAACATGATTGCAGCTAATCGTATTTAGTTAAATTTGTACCAAATACATTACAGATTCATCTTTTCCTTAGCCCGAAACTTCCATTGGGAAATCATTATAAAACTTATATTTTGTGAGTATTTTCGAAAAATAAAAATAATACTTTCAAAAAATTACCAAGCCTGTAGTTAACATTTTCAATCATGAATAAAAGTTTGTTCAAAGTGATTGAAGTTTTATCAGATTAGAGAAGATACTAAAAAATCTGATTGAATTTATAGTCATTAATTTTAAACTAAAATTTCAATTGAATAAAAAAATAGTTAGATAAAAATTTATTCGAATAAATATTTAAAGAACTGAATAACTGCAAAAACTTTAGACCACCAATACTTTCAGAAGGCTTAGATTCATGTTGAATATTAATTTCTAATTAAAATTTACAAAAAAAAATTAGGTTTGAAAATATTAATGTTCTTTTCATTAACTTTTGATATTATTTAGTTAAGAATTGACATTAGTGCTATTCATTACTGACATAGCACACATTGTTTTTTGTTATATTTTTCTTGTTGAAAACTTAATGGTTGACCATTGTATATTTTAGAGGAAGGAGATCTTCCGGGATAAAATAGTTTTTCCACTATTTTAGTCTCTTTAGCAACCCCGAACCATCTCCTTCCTCTTAATTTTTCTTGCCATCATGTAATGTTTAAGTAATTTTATATTGTAATATAAAAGGTGTTCCTTAAGGGTTATTTTATTTGTTATAATGTATACGAAATTTCTCATTCATAATTTTTGTTTTGTTTTTTATAATAAACAAGGCTAGTATTTAATAAGGTTATGAAGACCATCAGTTTCATTAGTTAACATAATTATAAAAAAATAAATCAACTGATGATATTAGTATTATTTATTTTTAGTGATATTATTTTTAAAAAAATAGTGTAATATTTATAAAGGAATGCCTATTTTAGTCTCATGGTTTTTCTTTTTATTCTTGATGAAAAAGTAAAAATAACAAAAAATTGAACCATTTAAATTAAATTCACTTCATATTCTTTTCTTAAATTCTCCTTCCATTTTCATTTTCAACTTTCTTAAATAATAAGTTTATCCATTGAAATTAAATTTAAAAAACATTATTCATGAAGTTTTCATTGAAAGTATGTTGAGTATAAAAATACAAATGAATATTATATCGGGATAAAGCAATATTAATCTTAAAGCAACAATTGATGTACAAATACAATATCTTTAGCTTTTAAGTTATTCTTATCATTATTTTTTTTTTTTACTGGAATGCTGATCGAATGGTACCTGAAAGTAATTAATAATTTTGTTTTGTTACCAAGTTTGCTTATGTACTTTACGTATTAATACATAAAAACAAAATGTGAATGTGAAGCAGTTAATATTTTCGTTACAATTTCATATAATAGCTACAAGAGAATAGCTTTGTGATAAATTACTAATCAAGCAACAGTGCCTTGTATTTTATGAAAGAAAAACGTTCACGGTAACATAATTTTCGAAATTTTTAAATAATAAAGCCGACAATGAAATATATGTTGTAACTAGAGTTTTACATTATTGTTTAGTATAGTTTTAATATTTTATCAGCTTCCATTACATGGTCAATATCAAATTCCATTAATCTATTGATCATCTGAGGGTTATATTATAACAATAATATTGATTGTGTAATGGAAGGGGTTTAAAAGAAGCATCATTTCCTTCCAGCGAAATTTAAAAAAAATATTATACGTATGTAGTAGGTACTTAAAATTACCTTAATGGAAGTGATAAATTTTGATGCTGTGATCTTCTTGTCTTAGTTTTTAATATCTTTTTAAAAAGGTCTTCAATTTTCTTACATATATCCAGATGAAAAATTAAACATTAATTTTTAAGTAGTTTGATCATTTTTTTTTTTTTTTATCACTCCTCGTGCCATTTCTGATGGTGGTGTTCTAATTCAATACAGGTTTCACTATTCTCACAGAACTAATTTGTTTCAAAAATATTTTTATTTCTATTTATGATTTATTATACATAATCCTAATTAAAAAAATAAGTACAGAAATTCTGTTTGATTTCATAAATCGAGCTCCTATTGCTGTATTTATTTTATGTCCCCGATTGAAACGGTTCAAAAATCAAGACTCGGTTGTGTCCATTTTGAAACAAATTAAACTCATTAATTTTTTATTTGAAAAAGTATTTTATTTTGAGATATTACTGGTATAATTAAAATAATAAACAACTGAAATAATTGGTTTTGGTGAAGATTTCTTATCATATCTGAATTTAAAAATTATCATGCTGATTGTTGGCGGGGTAGCCTTATTCAATTTGTTTGATTTTTAAAATGTTTTTATGTTTAGCAATTATTGAGATACTGACATTTTCCAATGCGAGGTAGAATTATTTATTTAAGTAAAAAAAAAAATTTTAAAGAACATGATATTTCAATATTTGTTAATTGTATAACCCTGGTTACTATTAAATTAAAATGTTTGTTTAAATGTTTTATGGTTTATATTGAAAAGTTGTAGTGTATTTTAATCAATCACTAGCGTCAATCAAATGGTCAAATCACGGTCAATCAAATAGTGTATCACTTTTCAATCAATCAAGTCAATTAGGGAATAACTGAGATAGTCCAGCAAGTAGAACAACCGACACTGAAAATACCAGGTTCAACTTATGGTTTCGTTTAAATAATTTTATAATATTAGAAAATTAATGAGCTTTATCAGGGTAGGAGCATGGTTTGATTCATGCTTCCTGTGCCTGCTAGAGAAATCCCTTTATGGTATGAATAGGGGAAAAACGATGGGAAGTGATAAGACAGAAAAATACCTGAAAAACTGAAAATCATGTACCTGGTAGAGCAGTGACCGATTGTCATAAGCTATGGTGGCCAAGTATGTTAAGGCAAATTGTCACCAGTTCGATCCTGGTCTGGGTGAATTGAAATTTATGATTTTGTGAGGTACCCACGAAATAAATTGTGAATTTCCCACTCTTGCTAGAATAGGTTGGTTACATGCAGGATAACCATCTCATACGACACAAATGTCCAGATAGGGGGGAGGGGAGAATGAAAATGAAATCACCCGTTGCCATAAAATAAAAAAAATAAATAAAAGTATTTCCATTGCTGGGTTTTTAGGATTTTTTTTTATCTTTTAAATAATTCTTTTTTATTATTTATTTTTACATTTGCTGTCGTTTCGGCCTGAAGTTCAGACCTTCATCAGGGCTGATCAAATCAAAAGTGTGGAAAGGTCTTGCCACACTTTTGGTTTGATCAGTGGTTCCTATAACATGTTTAGGTTTTTAAAATTAAAATATTGTTATTTCTGATAATCTTCAATGAACTAAAAATCAATCAGGAAGGTTGATGAAGGATGATAATTCGGTGTGGTATCCACGGAATGAATCTTGAATTTCCCACTCTTGCTAGAATAGGTTGGTTACATGCAGGATAACCATCTCATATGACAGAAATGGCCAGGTAGGGGGGAGGGGAGAATGAAAATTAAACCACCCGTTGCCAAAAAAAAAAGTATTTCCATTGCTTGTGTTTTAGGATTTTTTTTTATCTTTTAAATAATTCTTTTTCATTACTTCCTTACATATGTAATTATGAAAATGTTTGTTTTAAATATTGAAATTTTATTTAATCTTAAAAAAAAAAATGATACACGAAGAGTTTCGTTGGGTTTTGTATTTAAATATTTTGTTATCACAATGTGACAATTATTAGTTCTGTACTTAATATTAATTAAAATGAAGCAACAGAATTCCATGATTGTGAAAAGTTGTCTTCATATATTTTTGGAATTTATATAAATGATTTTTCAATGTAATAAAGTATTCATTCTAGTGGTTTGTTCTGTTAAGAACATTGATTTTTTTAAATTATTGAAATCAAACAGGCATTCCACTGAAAAGTAAAGCAGTTCTATCAATGTATTTTATTTTTGTTATTTTAGTAGTGTATATCAGTGATTAATTTAAAAATTCATAATTTTTTTGTTAAAGTAATCTAAATTAATTGCTTACTTTGATTTTGTTGTATAATATTTTGTAACCATATTCATATTATGGTTTTTTAGGATAAACATTCCACTGCTTTCTATATCTAGATCTCGTTTTTGAGTACCATGATTAGTAATGTCATTGGCTGTGATATATTGTCTTATAGTCATTGCTATCAGCATGGACAATGATTCAAGTAGTTACTTATTACAATGACTGTTTATTAGGGCTTTGAATTATTGTTATTAATTGAAATATGTTATATCATTATATATGCATATATATATTTTAGTAAATGATTGTATACAAATATAAAAAATATTTTACAATATGTTTTATGTTTTATTTTTTATACCACTTACACATGTATATTTGTTAAAACTAGTGTCCGCCCAGTGGTCGAAATTCAGCCATAATCATTTTTAAAAATTTGAGGAAAACAAATGAATTTTCATTTTCCTAACATTCTTTTTTTTTCCATCCCTTATACATTCACTTCTTTATGGACTTCAGTTCAGTACCATTTATATACTTTTTGAGTTATTTGCAAATACAATTCTGAATCCATTGTTAATTTTTTTTAGCCTCTTTTTGGGTAAATATATTATGTATTATGATTTAAAAGAACTTCAAGGAGAAGGCTTCAGCTAAGTTTCATTAAATTATTTTTTTTTCAATTTCATTAAATTTGTTATACCCTTTTTAGCGTTATAGACTACAGCGACACATGTTTTTCAGTTGCCGTTACTTACTTTGATTGAAACATAGTATCAAAATGTCAAAGCAATCAGTGAAGAATTTTCAGAGATCAGTGGATTCGAACAAACTAATGTTTTTATTTATATATTGTTTCCAAAATGTTTTTATTGATAACACTAATAGCTAGCTAATAGTTAAGAAACACAGGTGGAAAAGGTACTGAACTGTTTTATTTGCGTATTTTTATGATTTGTTATTTGTATTACACCTGTGAAGAAATAAATACAGGTTAGAAATATTTTGAGGATATTACGAGCTAATAAAACATATTAAAACAGTGGTTCAATGAGAATATTTTATTATCTTTGACCGGAGTATAATTTAGATTCTGTGAGGTTTATGCTATAAATATTAATAACAATATTTTGAACCGCCTTACCATTTAATTTATTCCATTTCTAAACTTATTTAATGTTTCTAAAATCTTTTTAAAGTTTGTTTCTTGTTCATGTTAATAAATAAATAATCACCTTCCAAGTTAACTTACATTCATACTAAGAAAATCTTAGCCAAAAGTTAGTATGTACTGGAAGTCAGAATCTTTAACTGAATACAATTTGCAAGAGATATATTTGAAGTATATTCTTCTCTGGGAGAAATACATAACTAAGCGAAAATAGACAGAATTTGATTTAATAGATATTAGACCCTCTTGGTATCAACATTCACTATTTCTGAAAATTACATCAATTATAATTAACAACACAGTAGATTTTGTACCCATTTTTTGAATTTGATTACAGAATACAGTTTAAATTAAATTATCGTATATAATCTAAAATCATATGATTTATTATATATACATGACTATTCTATAGAAATAAAGACTATTGTTGATCACTGTCTTCAACATTCCACAGTCATTAAATTATTATTAATAATCAGGTAAATCCATTTTAATTGCTAAATAGAATTTAATAATATTGATGCTAAACTATTTCATGTAACTTCAGGCTGAATTGAATAAACCATTATTGAAACATCATAGAAAATGCATATGGGAATCCAAAGCATAATAGTTGACCTGATTCCATAAAATTGATAGACTATAATTTTTTTACTAATACCAAAATTATAGCCAAATCGAGCGAGCAGTAATTGAAATACTGGTATGACTGAGAAAATATTATAAATATTTAATATGAATACTTGAAAATTTCTATGATAATCAAATTAATGTTAGGAGGTGATGTGTTTATCACAAGGATTACAGAAAAACCTACACGAAACCAAAATAGTTCCTTGATGTCTAAAGCGTAAAACGCAAGTGGATGTTTTTGGATTTGAGCATTAAAATTCGTTAAACCCCACATGAAAACAAAGCTTCTCTACCTTTGGTAGTGTAAAAGAAAATAAAGTGGTTTGTGATTTGTTAGAGTACAAAGACCCAATTGACCCAACATAAACAAACTTTGTATTATATGCCCAGACTTTCCATTTTGATTGGGAAGGTTGATGAAGAATAATGATTCTATAAAAATGTATATATAACGAAAATCAAAGCAGAATAGAAAAATTGAATTAAATGGTATGGTAGGTAGTTACACAGCACTGTTTTGAAGGATAGTATCTTTCCTGAACACAAGGAGCTCCCTTCTTGTTTGGTCAAAAATTAAGCAAATATTGAATAATCAAATTTGTTCTACGGTTTAATTAAACCATTTTACACGGTTAGGTTTTTCAACCATATTGAATTCATCCAAGAAACTAATAGAGAAATTAAAAATTATTCAGAACTATTTTGAGAATGACGAATTGCAGTTATAACCATTTACCACCAACTACTATTTTCATAAAAGAAAAAAAAAAATCGTATAATTACTATAACGACGTGTCGATTTATTTTGACTTTTCTGATTTCTTCGATAAGGTTTATTGTTGAATTATCGGTGACGCATTTTGTGAAATTCAATAATTTCAAAATTGGTCTCTTGCGTATCGATAAATTTAACTTATCGTATTTCTACAATGTTGAGGTTCATTACTCGGTTATCGAAAGCTTTTTTTACAAGAAAATATTATCGAGTTTAAGATTATCACTATTTACTGTTCGATATTAGGGTCTATTACTATGCTATTAGAGACTTTTAAAGAAAAATATTAACGATTTTTAGATGAGTCATTTACGTGTGATTATTAATTATTAAAAAAAAGAAAAAAAAAAAAGAAAGATACGTCTCCAATGATATTATTATGAAACTATATATCTTATATATCGAATAAACCAGATATATTAAAATAAAAAGAAACACGAATCTATAATCTTA